CGGAGAAAGCATAAACTCAGAAGCCTGGACAGTCAAATTCCTTTACACATCCCCATTCACTCCTGAGATTCTCTTCTCACAATCAAAAGAACATTTCGGCTGTGGCTATTTCCAGTGCCAATCCAGACCCTGAACTTTTAGTGCAAGGTCCAGGAACCTTGTTCTGTAAAGGGCCAAATAGTAAATATTTTAGGCTTTGCAGACCACACGTCTCTGCCACAACTCCTCAACTCTGCCATTATAGCACAAAGGCAGCCATAGACAATACATCAATAAATGAGCATGGCCGTGTACCAGTAAAACTTTATTTACAAGATCAGGCAGCAGGCCGAATTTGGCCCGTGGGCTGTAGTCTGCCAACCCCTGAGCTAGAGGACCACACACCTCACCTTCTGCTGGAGCTCCTCGATGCTCCGGAAGTAGCTCTGGTAGTCGGGGCACACGGTGGACTCGTGGCATTTGCTCCACTCTCGGATCTTGGTCTCCAGCTCCGCGTTGTCTCGCTCCAGCTGGCGCACCTTCTCCAGGTAGTTGGCCAGGCGGTCGTTCAGGAACTGCATGGTCACCTTCTCGTGGCCGTTCAGGCTGCCTTCACCGTAGGTCCCACAGATTCCGATGTTGCCGGGAACGTGGCAGGTCCCTGGCAAGGGGCACGCGGTGTTGCAGCTGGGGGGCAGACAGAGGCTGGGTCGGCCCAGAGGGGTCGTCCCCACACGGACTCGGTTGGCGTGTGCCACGGTGGCCAAGAGGCCCGGGGAGGCAGGCTTGACCTCTGCCCCAGGCTGGCTCCCAATATCGATGGAGGAGATACAGAAGTTTCTTTCCTCAGGAGTCGTGAAGCTGCCCAGCGATGGGGAGGAGCTGACGTAGAAGGAAGTCATGCTGTGGGCTGAGGCTGCACAAGAGGTTCAGAGTGCTGGGAAGGCCAAGACGCTGAGTCTGCCAACCCCCTTCCCTCCTAGGCCTTTTATACCCCATCCCAGGTGGGTGTTGGCTCAGCGCTTTGCCCTCGCTGCCTTGATTCTCGACCTGTTGTTGTACCGTCATCCTGTTACTCAGCTGTTGAGTTTACCATTAAGGGTTTCTCACCTCATTAAAGGAATGTGGATGAATCTGAGGTGCCTCTTGGCTCTTTGATATCAGGTTGTCTGTTGCTGGGAGATCAGAGATTCATATATACTCAACCATCACTAGCAGTAATGCAGCTCTCAAATGTCCTCTCTCAGGACTGGGCTGATCTCCTTGTGGATGTGGCCACACTGAAGGATCAAATCTTACAGTTAATGATTTGTGTAGAGGAGAGAGACAAAAATCTATAAGACCTATGGCTCTGTCACCTGTGCTCGGACACAACCGGCCTCTACTTTAACGAGAAAAATACCAGTTTATAAAACTAGCAAGTCCACTAACTAATATTTTAATGTTGAGAGATCCCTATTTCTTCTTCTTTCTTCTTTTACATTGCATTCTCCCCTCGAGGAGCAATAAAGCATCAGTACACTCAGAACCCTTGGTGCTAATTAAGTTTTGGTTGACTAGTAAGAATTGGCTTTCATTCATTCACTTGTTCAGCATGTTCCCTGAACATTGCCCATAACTCAGGCAGTGTGCTGGTTCCTGGACATGCAATGGTCTCTGTTCTTCAGCAGAAATCAGTGTTGCAGAAATCCTAGGTTGTCTTAAACAAACTTGAATGAGAACCATAGATCAATGAGAATTAGTGAAAGACAGAGGATTCGTGGTCCTGACAAAGGATGAATCCAGCAAGAAGCTACTAACGAAACAAAACAAAACACCTTATTTGATCCAGAAAAGGGAAATTGGGCACAGAGCTCAAGGGATACTTAGACAAAAGTTCAAGAACTAACATTTGTAGAAGACACAGAGGTGCTAGCTATTCTACTGTATTGTTTCCTATTGAGTTTATATCACCTGTGAGGTAGCTGTTCTAAGCCTCAATGTGCAGATGAAGAAACTAGAGTAAAATCCACTTTCTGATTCACAGAGTGAATAAACTGGCAAAGGCTCATTCCGTCTCATGTCTACAGAGCCCATTCTCTTTCTACCTCGTCACGACCCCCTATGAGAACAACCTGTACCATGGCCCATGACATTGGTCTGGAGAGTGCAGAAGCCTTAGTTATTGGACAGGAAGGTGGCATTATACTCAAAAATGAGACTTTGTAATACAGATCCCAGAGAGTTCCATCAGAACTGCAGGACCAAGGTAACCAACTGCTATGGGGCCAGGAGTTGCCCTTCCAAAGTGGTCAAGGGAAAGTAGACGGACCTAAGGACTGAGTGTGGAAGATCCAATGGGATAAGGCCCTAAAAGAGTATAAAAAAATCTCTTCTCTAAGAGAAATTCAGGAACAAGCATTCTCGTGGAAACCAAGTGGAAAGCTGTGGGTGTGAGTATTGGTGAAACTTGGACTCTTGGAATTCTGTCGAGAAGAAATAAAATTAAAAGATTTGGAATTCTTCCCAACAGGGAAACCCACTCTGGGTCAGCTGTGGCTCTCCCAGTTACCCTGAGGTCATCATGAATAATTATTTACTGGGGCAATCCTTAGATGACCTCTCCCAGCCAGGCTGCCCTTCAGAAGCCTTTGGACACATCTGCATATGTTCCATCTTCAAACACCTCTTTGTTTCTCTCTTCCATCTCATCACGTAGCATCACTATAATCCAGAGAATTGGACCATTAAAATTATTTCCTTTGATTTGCTAAATAGCCTCCACCTTTTGACCCTATTCCCTGGCACGATTTATCCCATTGATGAAAGTCAAGGTTCCTCCCATCTCAGAACACCCGCCACTTCATACTTCTAGGCATCACAGCAGAAGTTTTGCATCCCTGGCTGACAGCCCTCTCTAAAGCTCAGTCTGTGCCCCTGGTGTGGGCTCTGCATGGTCTGTTTATCACAATGGCATTGATGCTGCCTGCTCCTCTGTAAAGCAGTGGATTCTGTTGATTTTCTTTTGTCTCAAACGAACTGGCAGCAGGTGGAAGGCATGAGGCAGGTGTCTGAGACACATTCAGCTTTGTAAGTGAGGAGGATCCCATCCTCGACACCCTAGACTGCCTCCTTTCACTTCCCTGTGAAAACTTCCTGGCCCCTGAGAACAACACAGCTGGTTGCATGAAGGGAAGTGCTGACAATGAAGAGTGAAGAGAAAGGTGATCCTGCAGCCCTCCTTCACTCACAGAGCCGCCTCTTCTTTCTTTAGAAGTAAAAGTTTTTGAGCGGCTATCTATCTTCAGGGGGAGGTGGGACACAGGGTCCAAAACAGCGTCATTCGATGCCAAGGCATTGGAACATATAGACGCATCTCTGAATAAGAGAGAAAGCAGTGGAGTTGAAGCAGCCCACACGGCTTGCATCTAATCTACGGCTACCTTATCTATTGCGGGGGGAGATTCTGAAGATACCTAAGGGAACAGGTGCTGTCCACACACAGCACCCACTGTGTGTTGCACCAGGGGGAAAGTTTGCAAACCATGACAAATGGTGCATCCTGGCACAACTGTGCTTGCAATGCTCTCACACACCCAGTAAGGAGATCACAGGATGAGGAAGGACACCCTGAGAGATCTTTGTGATTTCAAAAGTCCATCTCACAAAGCTTCGAAACAGAGGAAAAGTCACCATTTTCTCTTACATGAGATTTTACAATCGTGTTATTGGAGAATCTTTAGTTTGATTTCAAAGGTTTTTAAAATTATTATTCTGTTTTATTCTTGTCCCAGGTCTCCAGATCATCAGAGACTAATTATTAGGAAAATAATTCTCTTCACTTTCCCTTTCTTTATCCCCCTGATCCAAGTGTTCCTCAAAAAGACTCTCCCTGCTGGTTCCCAGGGAGCCCCATAAACCAGTATTCACTGAGCATCTTCTATATGAGTTATTATATGGATTACCCTTAACAACAGAGAGGGAAGTACAGTTATTCTAATTTTACAACTAAAAAATAGGTCTCCAAAGAGTGTAGTGACCTGGACAACTTCACTCAGCTGAGGTGGGATTTGAGCCCAGGTCTGTCTGACACGAGAGCACATGGTCTTGCCACAAAGAAGGACCAGCTTTGCATTAGTCTTTGGACAGGGGTACATGGGCGAGCGGAGATCTGAGAGCTTCATTCTCCTGGACATACAGCACTTGCCAGAAAGCGAAATTGACTAGCACAGCAATGGAAGGAGCACAGCATCTCGGGTGCTGCTCCCCAGATGCAGTTCTATCGTGTCCGGCTGTGAACCACGTTGGCCTGAAACAGCGCCACGTCCAAGAGTCAGGCAAAGCCTTTGGATCACTCGTGACAACTGCAATCCCCAGCACTGGCACTTGGAAGACAATCACACACATCAGTGCCAATATCTCTCTAGAGAAAACTATATCCCAGAAGTGAGCCAGGACCAAGTCAACTGTCCCCAGGGCCCAACCTGGGCCTCCATGTTTAAGATCAGTCAGGAATCCCACACCTCTATGAAGGGGCCAGTGTGAATGAGAGAAAAAGAAATTGGCACTTGGCCGAGGCAGTTCTCAACATGATCTCCCTTTGACCAGGATGGAACTCTAAGTTGTATGATTTTGCTCTTGAACAAAATGCCAAGAAAGTGAAGATGCCAAAAGCATGGTAGAGACATGTTAGTTCTGAGCTGTTCTGAAGGAATCCAAACTTGGCATCCAACACTGCTTCCTTTCACCAGTCTATGGGCATCGATGGGCAACGTAAGGACACATATGATGTCAGCAAAGAGCCTTCAACCCGAGGCTCCAAGAAGTCCTGGCAGCAACATGTCAGGGCCAGTGACCACCCAAGGGCTCGAGGGCCAGGACTCTTTATCATACCACATATGCTGCCAAACACAGGAAGGAGAACACTTAATATAGGAAAGAAGTTTATTGACTATTTCATACAGGAGCCCAATTACATTTTAGAAGATTCTGAAGCACTGGAGTAGAACTAAAATTCCAGAAGAGAGACTGGGGAGGGGGAGGGGGAACAATAATTTAGGTGCAAGACAATACAACATTGCCAAAAAAAAAAAGAAAAATCAGCTTAAGGCACAAACAGGAAGCTACTGCTTAAAAGTATCTGCTACCTTTTTGAGTCAGTGAAAATGCTTCCAATGGGTTTGGTGTTTCTGGGAGGAAGACTAAGCAAGTGAGAATAATCCCAGCCTCAGTGCAACCAGCCTTGACATCCTGCTTTGGGACTCAGACCTTCAGAATCGGCTCTCAGCATGGGGTTCCACTGGCTGAGAAAGACCCACAGGACTGGGGGGCACAGCTTGGACAAAGGGTTCAGGAGGCAGGCGTAGAGCATGGATTGCAGGGAAGTCTGCAGAGAGAGAGAGAAAAGGAAGAGTTAGACATGGAAAATAAAAGGCTGTCTCAGTGATGGACAGAAAGGGTCGGTCCAGAATTATATAGGACAAATCTGCCACAAGCAAATCACACAGTCCAACGGAACCTACTTGAGCAGTCCCACTTCCATGCTCAGTTGTGTTTTTCCACATTCAGGTGTCCCCTTGGTGGTGGCGGGGGCGGGGGACAGGGGACTTGGCTTAGGAACCTGGGTACCATGTGTGTACCATTCTATCAACAGTACAATCTGTACACACCAGCAATGGTGAATGAGTCACCAAGCGAGTCTCATTCTTCGCAATGAGATCTCCTTCCACGAGCATGTCAGTTATCTCCGAGAAATCGCCTGACAGTTAGGTATGTGTCTTGGCCAGGAATTGTCCAGGTCCCACATACTTGCAGTCCTCACTCTCCAGGAGCTTCCGGTACGTGTCGATCTCGCCCTCCAGCCGGACCCGGACGTCCAGCAGCACCTGGTACTCCTGGTTCTGCCGCTCCAGGTCAGCCCGGATCTCAGACAGCTGCTCCTCCACGGTGCTGATCAGGCTCTGCATCTGGGCCAGCTCGGTGCCATAGCGGGCCTCAGCCTCACACAGGGAGTTCTGCAGGCAGTCCTTCTGCGATGGGAAATAATGGGGTAAGAGTCCCAGGTGATCCATATTCAGCAGTGAAAATCAGGGCCAAACTCACCAGACAGAGGACCAATTCCAAGAATTCATAGGACGTTCTCAGAACTCTGGAGAATTCACTGTCAATATGACAATGACTTTTCACAAAAAATAAAAATCTAACTTGAACTGTGTCATGTTCAGCTCTGTGTCGCCAACACCTGACATGAAGTAGACACCCAGTAAAATCTTGTAAAATGAGTACCTGAAACTCCACACCTTATTATAAAAGGAAGTGGTATTGACTTTTAATAGACACCATTTTTCTGGATCAAACTAACCTTACCAGCAAGCCATCTCCACCAGAAAGAGACTGAGATCCTAAGGTCTAATTTGATGTTAAAGGAACTGATTACGGAGACTTCTAAGAGGCCATGGACTGAGGCACCGGCAGTGCGGTGAGGGGGAAGCAGGACCCGTACCAGGTTGTGCTGGGCTTGGCGCTCCACCTCCAGGGCGTTCACCGTGCACCTCAGCTCCAGGATCTCCGACTGGCAGCACTGCAGCTCCTCGGAGCAGGACGTGGCCTGCAGGCTGATGCCCTCAGACTGAAGCACAAGTGCACAGAGACACGATCACTTCCCGGCCAGATGGAAGCTGGGATCCCCCCGCTCTGCAGCACCGCCTCACCTGAGCTTCGAACCACTGCTCCACATCGCGGCGGTTGGTCTCCACCATGGCCTCGTACTGGCACCGCATCGTCTCCAGCACACTGTTCAGGTCCACGGTGGGCTCAGTGTCCAGCTCGATCCGGAGCCTGTCCCCCAGCTGGCGCCTCAGGGTGTTCACTTCCTGCGGGGACAGAAGGACCCAAACCCTAAGTGAGGAAAGGGCTTTGCACAGAGCAGACAGCACCTGAACCCCTCTCCCGACGAGCACACTGAGGGGCAAACCCACACACATGCTGATGTGAAAGGTCTGGCCAGGGTCCAGCGGGAAGAGCCCCTCTGAGACCTTCCCGAACTCACAGGGCCAATCTTTAGAGAAGAGACTCTCACTCGGCCACATCCCACAGAGTCACCCCGACTCTCAGACCCAGATCAACCGATTATCCTGAGGCCAACCAGGCCCAGGTTCTGATCCAAGAGCCACACAGGGTGGGAAGGGCTTACTCTCTGCCCAGCGCCCTCCCCTGTGAGTCTGCAGCCACGGGACCACACCTGCTCATGGTCGCTCTTGAGGCAGAGCTGCTCCTCCTTCAGGGACTCCTGCTGGGCCTCCAGGTCGGCCTTGGCCAGGCTCATGTCATCCAGGAGCTTGTGCATCCCGCACATGTCCGCCTCCACCAGCAGGCGCAGGGCGTGCTCACTCTCATGCCTGCCATCACGGGACATGCAGGGTCAACAGATGCCAAGGAGAGCCCCTCTCAGCTGCCCTGGGTCCCCCCCTTCTTTACCACCTTCAATCCTCATTTGCTCACTTGATCAACAATCACTGTGTAGGACTCTGTAGCTACACAGCTGATGGTCAGGACCAGTATTGTTATGCTCATTGAGCAAATGGAAACTGAGACTCAGAAAGAATAAGTGGGTTGTCCAAGATTATATATCTTGATTAATAGTAAATCATGGACTCAACCTAAATGACCAGACTTCAAATACAGTATTTATTCTGCCATAAGGAGGTCATCTAGCCAGGAAAAAGATTAAGAGTTAAAAATAAGAGTTTAAAAATAAGAGTTCTGGAGCTACGGTTTGCTACTTTACCCATTAGATTAACCATTTTGCATTGTTTTTCTGCTTTTCTCATTCATTCAATTACAACTCTTGATAACAAGAAGCTACGATAATAATTCTTCCCACTGATGAATTAAGCCAAGGGTCCGGGAGTCTGTCAACGACCTGTGCACTAAAAGTTTATTGTTGCAATGACTTGGTTTTGTTTCTGGTTATAACGCAAAACCCTCTTATCTTCTAGGTATGGGGAGAAGATGAAATAGGATCTAATCAATCTAGACTATACTTCCTTTTCTTGTTATAATGCTTTTGTTCTTTTCCATCCTATATAATGACTATTTCTAGTAATCGGTTAAGTTATGGTTTGGAGAGGAAGAAAGTGAGCACTTATTCATTGATTCATTCCGTTTTCGAACACCTACTTTGGACCAAGTACTCTGGTGGGCAGTTGGAAATAGATGAGAAGAGAGAACTCAATAGCTATTTTTTTCAGATGGCTTTTAATCATGGGTTTAGATGTTTGCATCATTCATAATTCAAAATGCTTATTAAATTACCATCTTGTACCTATTTAAGTTAGCAAATATCAAAAAGTTAATGTCACAATGTTGGCACTATTATACACTGGAAGAGAGAGGAAATCATGCAACTTCTTTGCAAGGCAGTTCAGCGATATCTATTAAAAGCACAACTGCTCATACACTATGACCCAGTAATTCCACTTTTAGGAATTTAGCCTATAGATACACTTATACGGACACATGTACAAGGATAACAAAGATATTCATTGCAATAGCTTGGGAGTCATACTAGACTGGGAAGAAACTAATGGCAATTACTACATACCTATCCACAATTACTTTAAATGGAAGTGGATTCAATGCTTCAGTCAAAAGACACTGATGAGAAAATGAGAACCTTACAAATGAGAGCCTCACTTTAGACTGAAAGACACGCATAGACTGAAAGCAAAGGGATGGGAAAAGCTATTTTATGAAAACGGAAACAACAAAAAAAGCTGGAGTGTCACTACTTATGCCAGACAAAATAGACTTTAAAACAAAGGCTATGACAAGAGACAAGGAAGAACCCAGTAATTTCATTTCTGGATATTTATCCAAAAACCCAAAAGTGTAATTCGAAAAAATATATCCATCCTTATGTTCATTGCAACATTATTTATAATAGCCAAGATATGGAAGGAACCTAATTGTCTATTGATAAATGGATGAATAAAGAAGTGAGAATATATATATATATATACATATACATATACACACAAACATAACTTATTTTCTTATAATTGGACTACATTGCACTTTTAATCTTCATCCCCCATTACACCAAAGGGCAGAACCTTAATCTCAGTCATCTTGAGAACCCCTGTCCAAGGGGTTACCCCAAGTTCCAGAGGCCTTTTCTCTGGGATGTTGGAGGAGAGGAGGTGGGCAGGAATGTGTCCTTAGCGTTTGTATCCATTCATGCTGTACCCATCGAGACCCACATGGGTCCTCCTGCCTAGTTCTCAGTTGTCAGAACACCGAGGTGTTGTCAGGTCATCGTTGTCCTCATCCACAGGTCCTTGAGCTCACGGGACTCTCTTTGTTAAATCCCTCTTGGCTCTTTGATATCAGGTTGTCTGTTGCTGGGAGATCAGAGATTCATATATACTCAACCATCACTAGCAGTAATGCAGCTCTCAAATGTCCTCTCTCAGGACTGGGCTGATCTCCTTGTGGATGTGGCCACACTGAAGGATCAAATCTTACAGTTAATGATTTGTGTAGAGGAGAGAGACAAAAATCTATAAGACCTATGGCTCTGTCACCTGTGCTCGGACACAACCGGCCTCTACTTTAACGAGAAAATACCAGTTTATAAAACTAAGAAGTCCACCTAACAATT